TTTATTCTAGCACCGATTTCCACCGTTGTGAGGGCCGAACGAGGACAATTTCGTGCGAAACAAGCACGAACGCGCACACGATTAGTAGGACAGACGAGCAGATCGATGGCATGCGGCACGGTCTCGCGTTCTCGGCGACCAGGACAACGGAGCAGAGGGAGGCCTGCCGAGTTCCGAGGGGCATTTTAGTCCCAAAATTGTGTTGACACGTGAACAAGTGGCTTGAAAAGAGGAAGGAAATGCCTGGGTTTCCCTTCGAGAGCGGGAACTCGCTTGTGCGTCATCCTAGCTACCCATGGTCCCTTTGTGGGGGAGGCTGTTTCGTCCTACCGAATGTGTGGCGCTCCATGCATCTTCTGCCTCCCAAACCACCAACATGAGCACGCGAAGGAAGGAGAAAAAAGTGGCCGCAACGTTCTCTTCTCATATTTATTGTCTCATCACAAACATAGGTACATAATACAACAATCATGATCGTCTACAAGGATGTCATTAGCGGTGACGAAGTGGTGAGTTATCTCTCGGACCCGTGTGACATTCCTTGGTCACCTTCACGAAATGCATCCTTGTGTATCGCGCCGGCACGAAAGATGGACATTGCTTGACAGGAACGTGTGTGCCGCGGATTCCAGGAAGCAAGGACCGCCACCTCCCGTTTCTCGCACCGTTGAGCTTGCTTCCTGCATGATCCTTGACCTCAATACCCCCCCACGCAGTCTTTTTCTATTCAAAACGCACTTTCTGATGGTTGTCCTTTTTTCCCACGGTTCAGGTCTCGGACGCGCTAAAAATTGAGCCCGTGAAGGAGAACGGGGAGGACGTCCCGGGTCTATTTGAAGTGGATTCGGCCATGGTTGCCGTTGGCGGTGGAGACATCGACATCGGGTGTGGTAATGCTTTTGGGGGGGCAGGGGAAGACGAGGGAGCAGACGACAATGTCCAAAAAGAGAACAACGTGTCGGGTTCCAGCGGCTTCAATTACACGGCGATGCCCTTCTCGAGTAAGGGTGAATTCAAAAGCTGGGTCAAAGACTACGTCCGCAACGTCCGTCAGGCTCTGAAAGCGAACGGCGTAGCCGTGGAAGAGATCAAAAAATTCATGGAAGAGGCCCCGGGGTTCGTCAAGTGGCTGGTGGACAAGTACGACGACCTCGAGTTCTTTATGTCCAAGAGCATGAACCCGGATGCGGGCTTGATCTTCTCTTACTACAAGGACGGGGCGCACTGCCCCACTTTTGTGTACATCAAGAGTGGCTACAAGGTTGTCAAGTTCTAAAGATCAGCAGGGAGGGGATTTGGCGGCAGGGATAGTGGTGGGTGCGGTTGGGACGGGTGCAGCGAGAAGAGAGGAGGGGGTCGTGGGGCAGGCTGGAAGCGATGAGAGACGGAAGAGTGAAAACTGAGGGACGGAGGCAAAAGCACCGCACGGAAAGACTAGAGGGCGAGAACCTTATAGACGTTCAATCGTGGCATGATTTGTTGATTTCGATTTTTTTAAAACTGTTTCCTCCTTCGGCCCCTGCTTTCACGGGCGTGGGGTAAGGGAGGCGGCGAAACGTATCGCAAACCCTCTCCTGGGCCCGACCACGTAACTTCCCCTTGAGGGCACAAGCACCGGCCCATCATCCGGCTGTCACGCGGCAGCAACCCCTCCCTCTCTTGCGGGAATTCAACTCCCAGCGGCAGCTTCCTTTGTCGGCGGTGCGGGCCTCTGTGCTCTCGGAGGACGACTCCCGACACGCGCCACCCTCCCTCTCCACCGTTGTGACACGAGGAAGCCTCCCAGCCCCTACCTCCCCTCTCTCCCCCACGAACAAGGCTCTACGAACCCCCCTAGCCGCCCCTGTCTGGCAGGACACGCCACCAAGCTCCCCCCTACACACAACCCTGACCCTCTCGCCCACGTCTTTCCTACTTGCATCCTCCCTCCCATTCCCATCCCCTGTATGATACACCCAAGATCCATCAGACCATCGGTTGACAGGCGTGGGCCGTCGCCTCCGGACTATTCCCCCGAATCCGGACCGCGCAAGGCATGCGTCCTCTACACAGCACGGTCTCTCAATATTTTCACCACGAGAACACTCCCAAGTCTCTGATCGGATCCAACCCCCCTCCCCACCAGTCATCTTACCTCCCTCAAACCCTCCTTCCCGCCCTCCTTTCCCTTTGTCACCCCGCGCTTCCCCCCCTTTCCCTCGTTTTATCACCACGAGGAAGAGTCCATGCCTAGGGCGGAAATCAACTCTCCCTGCGCCGTCGGGGACAAGACCGAGTCCAGATCCCCGAATCGGGCAAACGCTTCCTCTGGAGCTAGGCCCGCGTCCCCTCCCTCCTTACCCCGGTCCATGGGGGAGAGAGGCATGAGCATGGGGGGGGGCACTTTCAAGATACCAGGAGGCTCCGAGAGCGAGTGGCGTCCGTCCC